TGTGTTTCCCGTGCTGCACAATATATCCTTTTAGCTTATTTTATACCTAATACTTTGTACCTCTTAATCCTCTACCCTTATGTTGCCCCTCCTCCAATACTCTCTTTTTCTTTGTTTGCAATCACAAGTAAAGATTGGCAAGATTCATCTGAAACAGACATCTTCTATCCTGACCCCTCAGTCTCTTGAGTGTCGATGATCCAGGTCATGGATAATCATAATAATGGCTGCCACTTCTCGTGTCCTTACTATGGGCAGGCTCTGCTCCAAGCACTTTAGATATTTCATTTAATCCTCACGACCATCCTATGAGGGAGACACTGTTAATATCCCATTATTTGAGATGGGTAAGATGAGGCTTAGAAAGGTTAAAAGACTTGCCCAAGGCCACACAATTATTAACCAGGAGAAATGAGATATGAACTCAGCTCCGGAGGCTGTGTGCTTACACTCTATTGCAGACTGTCTGCTCAGGATAATCCTTGCTCTCTGGTGGAGGGTATAGCTCAACTGGTAGAGCGCATGCTTAGCATTCACAAGGTCTTGGGTTCAATCCCCAGCACCTCTCTAAAAATAAATAAATAAGCCAATCCTCCCCTCCTCGGAAAAAAAAGAGTGAAGGACTCATCTGCCTTGTAGGAAGCTGGGAGAGTATGCTGCAGTGGTCACCTGAGTCAAAATTTATGGGTTGAATGGTTGTGTATTTGAAATTTTCAAATGAAGAGGAGGGAACTGGGACTCTAAACCAATCTTACAGATAATCATGGTAGTCCGAAATATTCAACTGTAAAGTTTAATGCAAATATCAGAATGTAAAATTTAAAATGTCTTCTGTAGATGTTATCTTAGAAGATACTAAAACAAAATTTATTTCCCCATATACTTCAGGTATCACAATGCAAATTTCCATGTCATTTTAAACCTATGTTTATTCCAAGTAAAGGAAATAAATTTCAACAATACAAGAAGAGGTTACATTATAATAATTATACTATTTAGTATTTAGTATACTATATACATAGCATATAGATAGCAAGTAAAACAATAGTCCAGTTCAAGTTTTACTTTAAGGAAGATTAAAACATACAGTTATTAACCTTGTTCTCATCTCAGTGACCCAAAGCACCTCCAGCACAGAATTTTGCTTGAAGACTTATTTGTTGTTTTACTTATTAAAAATAAATGTGAACAGCAACACAGCCCAACCAAGTGAGCAGACCACACCCTTGTTATGCAATATAACACCATTATGCACTTGAATATTTTAATACAGCCTTATAAAAAGAGAAAATATTTAACTCAAAAATGGATTCTTCAGAAAGATCTTATTTTATGAAACCATACATCCATAAACATTATCCTCTGGGGAGAAAATATCTTTCTAAAATAGAGGAAAGAATCAATGCAGATTCTTTTACATTTAAAATAAAAACCCATAGACAATTTTTTTTTCATTTGCAACAGCCAAATATTCAACAGTTTAATAGTTACTTAATGACCTTGGTTTACTGCACTGATTTATTTTTTATTTTTTAATTAATATACTTTATCTTTTTTTATGGTAGTTTCAGGTTCACAGAAAAACTGAGTGGAATGTACAGAGGTTCCATATACTGCACTCCCTACTCCAGTTTTGGCTATTATTAACATCTTTCATTTATTTATTTATTTTTGATTGGGGGAAATAATTAGGTTGACTTATTTATTACTATTTCTTTAAAATGGAGGTATTGGGGATTGAACCCAGGACCTTATGCATGCTAAGCACACACTCTACCACTGAGCTATACCCTCCCACTATTAATAACACCTTGCATTAGTGTGATACACGTGTTAGAATGATCAGTCAGTATCAATACATTATTAATGGAAGTCCACAGTTTACATTAGGGTCCACTGTTGGTGGTGTACATTCTTGGGGTTTTGCCAAATAATGTCATGCTCCATCATCACAGTATCATACAGAGTTATTTCACTGCACTCTTACCCCTATTTTACTTAGCAATTTGCATTTCGAGTTCTTCCATGCCTTTTTGTGATTTGATAGCTCAGTTTCCTTTATTGCTGAATAATATTTCATTGCCTGGATGTACCACAGTTTGTTTTACCATTCATCTACTGAAAGACATCTCGGTTGTTTCTGAGTTTTGGCAATTATGAAAAAGCTGCTATAAATCTCTGGGAGGTTTTTTGGGGGGGGTAGTTAATTAGATTCATTCATTTATAGAGGTACTGGAGATTGAAGCCAGGGCCAAGCACACGCTCTATGCCACTGAGCTACATCCTCTCCCAAAAGCTGCATAAACATTGTTGTGCCAGTCTGACTAATATTTTACCTTCAAGAAAAGAAATTCTTTTTTTTCATTCCTGAGTTTTTCTCATTATTTCTTTATTTTAAAAAGCAACATTGATAACAGAACAATTACAGTATTGTTTAAAAAGCACACTGCACAGGAACGTCAGGATTTCCTCAAATTAAGGAAACTTTCTCTTGGCTGGTTCTCTCAGCATCATCGGACATTTACAAGAAATGCTAATGAACCAAAAGGACATGGAGCCTTTGTTTACGAATTATGAATAATTTAATGAGTGGC